CCACCAGCTCAGCAGGAAGTGGGGCGTGGGCTCCAGGAGGGCCAGGGCTGCGAATGTTCTGCTCATCACTGTATCCCCATGGCTTTGCACAGAGCCAGCCTTCAACAGTAGCTGTTGAATCAATGGGGGCAGGGTTGTTGTGAGCGGTCACGTGAGATTAGATGTGTAAGGCATTAGCACATAGCAGGAGGCTAATAGTCATCGGATGCATGGACAGGTGGATGGACGGATAGACCAATGGCCTGGGCAGGTGAAACCACCAGGCTATAAGTTGCAGCCCCACAAATCCCGCCACCCACCCCAAGGATGCCACCACTGCATTGCCAGGGAGGACAAGGCCAGGTACCTGTCTGCAGAGCCTTTGATGAGCCGGCGGCAGGTCTCCATCTGCACGTCCAGGCCCCGCTTCATGCTGCACATCTCCATGTACTCATGCAAGTGTCGGTTCATGTCGCTCTTGGCCGTGGCCAGCTCCAGCTGAGAGGAACCAACATGGCATAAAGGGGAGGCCAAGTCACCTTCCCTCATAGCAGACCACTCAGCAACCTCCCGTCCTCAGTGGTGGTGGCAGCATTGGGGCCACCCCAGGACACCACGCCCTCAGGGCCCTCCCTCTCCTCTCTGCTCTCTACATACTGGTGCAGGGCCCCTAGAACCACTTCTGGTGGAAGGTGAGTGGTTGCTTAGCAACCACTGGGGCAGCCCTAGCAACTCCACCCTGTCCAGCATCCCTGCAGTCCTTTCTGTGGACTGGATTAGAAAAGTCCTGAAGTCTCTTGTGTTTCTGACCCTTCTCCTCTACCAAGTGATACATCCCCCAGGAAAGGAGCTGGCCTTCTCTTTCTCCAGAGTGACAACAGCAGTGACTCTCACTGACAGATGTGGCCCAGCACACAGGCTCCAGAGCTGGGAGAACTGGGCTTACAGGCTGCTTCCTGGCTGGGGGGCCTTAGGCAAGTCACTTGGTCTCTTTTAACCTCAACTCCTCCTCTGTAAAATGGGGCACACAGTACCTACTGCATAGTGTGGAGGCACCCAGGTCCCTCTAGATACATACATAAGGTATGCAGATACCAGGGAGGGTGTATTTTTAAAGGGCTGAGTGCCCAGTGTCACTTGATGTCACTCAGATGTCAGTTCTCATTATTTTGAGATCATCATCTCAGTTAATAACTTAAAAAAAAAACCTCTCTGGGGCAAACATGGATCACCACCCCCATTTCACAGATTAGGAAACTGAGGCCCTAAGAGGGGTGTGACTTGCCCAACACTAAGCAGGGAATCAGCAGATGTCCTGACTTCCGATCCTACGTCTGCCTCGCTCTCCCAGCCCCTGTCCACACGGGCACCTAATCACCGTGAGTCTCGGGGGTCACAACCGGGTGATGTGAACACGCTAACACCTCACCTCGATCTGGCCTATGGTCTCCTGGTACTCCTTGTCTCTCGTCTTGAAGAAGGATTCAGTCTCATGGATCAAGTTGCCCAGGTTTTCCTCTTGCTGGGGAAACAGAACAGAGGGGACAACTTAGCTGGGTGGTGAGGGCTGCAGTGAAAGAGTGCGGGATGCGGGATCGTGGAAAGGAAGTGCTCCCAATGCCTACCTCCCAACCTCTAGGAAGCCACGCCCGGCTCACCTCGCCCTGCAGGTCAATGCTCGGATTGCAGTTAGTGAAGTCCTCCCAGAGCAGAAGTGTGTCTTCATTCTCCTCCCACGTCAGGCTGTCACAGTCATCGTCGAAATCAAAGGTCTCCCGCCTGTTGTGGGGGGACACAGGAGGGCATGAGTGAACAAAGCCAGGCTCCAGGGGCCTGGACAGGGGAGAGCAAGGGACACTGCCCTGATGATTGGGCTCCTGCCAGGTGGCCATCCAAAAAGGCAGGGGCGGTGGCCAAAGGGGACGCATGCCTTCTCCTTGGAGTTTAACTCTTTTCAAATGCAGAGTGTATTTACATATTATTTATACAATTTAAAATGCATATTCCTAAAGATGCCAGGCTTTCATTAATGGAGACTGAAGATATTTTCCTCCCAAGTCCAATCTTGTGACTGTTTTCCTTTCATTTAATAACTCATTCCTGGAGCCCCTGCTATGCCTGAGGTGATTCATATAACGTTTTCTGCAACTTGGAAAAGTGGGTATTATTATTATTCCCATTTTACAGATGAGGAAACTGCAGCTCAGAAAGAATAATTCCCTTGTCCAAAGCCACACTAAGCTAGGCTGTACCAGAAACTAGGGCTGATAAAAAAGAACAAAATAATGCCATTTGTAGCAACATGGATGGACCTAGAGATTGCCATACTGAGTGAAGTAAGTCAGAGAAAGACAAATATCCTATGATATCGCTCATGTGTGGAATCTAAAAAAAGGGTACAAGTGGACTTATCTACAAAACAGAAATAGAGTCACAGATGTAGAAAACAAACTATGGTTACCAGGGGGTAAGGGAGGGAGAGATAAATTGGAAGGTTGGGACTGACATATACATACTACTATATATAAAATAGATAATTAACAAGAACCTACTGTATAGCACAGAGAACTCTACTCAGTACTTCGTAATGGCCTATATGGGAAAAGAATCTAAAAGAGTGGATATATGTATATGTGTAACAGATTCACTTCGCTGTGTACCTGAAACTAACACAACATTGTAAATCAACTATACTCCAATAAAAATTAAAAAAAAAAAAAAGAACCTAGGGCTGAAAGCCAGATCTTTCTGTTTCCTATGGCTTTTTCCTGCCCATCAAAACATCACCAAGCACCTATTATGTGCTGGGCACGGGACAGGCCACCATGCATGTATTAAAATGCAATTCATTCCATCCTCACAACAATCCTGTGAGGTGAGCGTGATTGTTAGTCCCATTTTACAGGTAAGGAAATTGAGGCTCAGAGGGATTAGGTGGACTTCTAGAATAATACATGCTGGAAATCAGACTTGAATGCAAAGCCTGAGCGATTTCTGGGCTTCCCTATTCACTAGAACTGGAAGTAGGGTGATGGACCATACAGGTGTGCCTGGGACTGAAGGGGTTCTGGAGGTGTACTGGTTACCCCAACTGGAGGGGACCGTAAAAATCATTCAGCCCAATATGCCCATTATTCAGATGGGAAGGCTGAGTGAGGCCTGCAGGAGTTAAATTGCTTGACCCAGTGAATCAGCTGCAGAGGAAGATGTGGGTCCCAAGTCCTGATTCCCACCCCAGGGCTCTCCCCACTGCCCACGCTCACTCCTTCAACTACTTTCTGGATCCTACAGGGCACTGCTCCCACCCTGCTGACAATGGACCAGGCTGGAGCCACCGGGCAGAGCCCAAGAGCACCCCCGGGAGCCAGGTTCCCCACCAAAAAGCGGTTCCTGCGGGAGCCTGCAGGTGGCTCCCTGCATCCAGGGACCAGAGCTGGGGCAGGGCTGCAGGGTGAGGCGCTGCCCACCCCCATCCCCCGCCCCCCACAGCAAGACAGCTCCAGGGCTAGCCCCTGGGTCAAGCGTTGTCGTCGTCGACCCATCGCCACCTCACATACTAGACTGTTGACCTCACTTCCTTCCCAGCGGCTGAGACAAGAAGGAAACCCCAGCTGAGTAATGGGGAACTAGAAAGGATAGGAAGCTGCCTGCACAAGAGAAAGGGCTGGGAAGAGGCGCCCCCCTCCCCCCAGATCTGGAGGGCAGGGCTGAGCAGGAAGGCTGGCAGCAGTGCAGAGAAAGTAGCAAATTTCTCCCCTTCTCCTGGGCCTGAAGCCCAAGCAACTGATTTTGATCAAAACAAAACAGCCCTGACACGGGTGCATTATTCAAGGAGTTCAGAGGAGCTGGCCCAGGGCAGTGGGGGCTCTGGCTTGGGTCTCAGCCCGTAGCCCGCAGAGATGTCAGCGGGAGGGGGCCATGGGGCCCTGCCCTGGTGCCTTCTGTGTGACCTTGGCTAGAACTACAAGGGTGGAGGGGTGATCAGAGGTTGGCTGTTGTTTTTTTTTTTGAAGTAGGCAACTTTACAACCAGATCAACCTAATTGGATACTGAACCCAGTTCAGACCTGTCAATGCTCAGGTGCCCATTTTAGCAGCATTGGAAAGAAAGCTCTTTCATATACCTGGGAGCACAGCTTTTTAGCTCACCCCACTTCCTGGGCAGCCTATGGATTCCTGGTGACTTTATGAAAACCAGGGACAACACTTTCTTCAAAGCAGCCCTTTAATTCAACCAAATGAACCCAGCCTGGGTCTCTGGGGCATACAACCCTGCCCTACACTCAGAAATGCCCACAGCAACGTTCAGAAAACCTAGACCCGACCAAGGGTTCTCTTCCAAAGCCCCTCTCATCAGCGAAAGATGAGACTATGAGAACTGGGTGTGGGGGGATATGGTGAAAGATGAATCGAGAGTCTAGGAATCTCCTTGTCACCCTCAAAACAGCAAAACCACAAACACAGCCCCATCTCCATGTTGTTTCAAGGGAACAGCAAGTATAGGTAAGTGCTGGGCAAACCCATCCCACTCAGGTCCAATTCCCGTCTTCCTGACAAGTCACCAGGGTGCGGATGGTGTGGCAAGGAAACAGAAGAGGAAATCTCTTCTGAGCATGAAGACAGCGCTGGACCGGGAGTCAGGGGCCCGGCTCTGTCCAGACTTGCCCAGCCCTCTCTGAGCCTCATCTGTGCAATGAAGGGGCTGGGCAGAGTGATCTTGGGACTCTACCATGCTAGGCCAGCCCTGAGCATTGCAGGAAGCATTAGGAAAGGCCTGTGCCCCTGGCTTTGGAAATGAGTATGATGGCAGGAGCGCCTGCTGATAGGAGGTGCCCTCCTGGAGGGGCCTGGAAGGTCGGTGATGGCTCATCAGAGGCAAGCACTTGAATCCAGCCAGCCCTGCTGCTGGAAGCTCAGGACTCCAGAGAACGGACATCAGGCCAGAAAGTGTGCTGGGCCCTGAGATTCAGACGCGAGGGGTGGGGGAGGTAGGGGTGGGGAGGGAGGACTTCAGTCCTGGGCAAAAGCTGAGTTCCCAGGGCTCAGGGGAGACAGCAGGCAAGAGCAGGCCAGTGGGGCAGGGGGAAAGGAGGACGCCAGAGACCCAGTCCCAGCCTGCTCTCTGACTCAAGGCCCTTAGGTGAGTCAGCCAATGCCCACAGCTGCACCCCTACCCTCCCCAAGCCCACACCGGGATACTCTACGGATTAGAGCCAAAATGGATCAGGATTGCAAGTATAGCACTGGGTACACCAAGGCTACAATGCATCCCTGCCCCGGATGACTGTACGCAGCCAGGTTCTAGTAAGTCAGCTGTCCACAGGGGTGGGAGAGGGCTGCCCAGACTGGTAGCACCTGACAATTTCCCATCGTGGCAAATATTAAGCTACTAACGTGCCATCGCTAAACCTGGAGTGGGCAGACATGCGTACAATCAGCTTTTACAAACTGGTACAAGCCAGCTCCAGCCCACCACTGACCATACCCAGTCCAACTCTGCCACTAACCTGGGCAGCAGCTCATCCCAAGGGAAAAAAAAATTGTAATTCTCTATGGTGATGGATGTTAACTAGACTTATTGTGGTGAGCATTTTACAACATATACAAATACCAAACCATGATGTTGCATATCTGAAACTAACAGAATGTTACACGTCAGTCATATTATCTCAATAAAAAAAAAAAAAGAATCGCCCACAAATATGACCACCATTACCAATTTGACCCTTTCTGAAAATGTGAAACTCCGAATCCAAATTCTTTCAGAGCACCGTGCTGGCCAAACAAAACATCTGCAGGCTACTTCCGGCCCAGGTCACCGGTTTGCCACCCCTGACCTGCCCAACCTGGGGAAACGGAGAGGAGCCCCCAGGCAGCAGGGATACTCACAGCTGGTTAAACATGCGTTTCATCTCGTCTGTGATGTTCATGGAGCCGACCTCGTCATCTGAGAACCGGTTCACCTCCCCGTCCTGCTCAGAGATGTCATCATCCGAAGCCACCTTACGCTCTTTCTTTTTGGGGACCACCTGACCCGGAAAGGAAAAGATCAAGGTCACTGGGAGGCTCTGCTGGGATGGAGGGCGAGGTGGACTGGGAAGGGAGCCGGCGTCCCATAGCATGGATGGAGCATGGCTGGTGCAGCCACTGCTTGATGCCGGGTCCTCTAAGAAGCAGGCGGCGTTCGCAGGAAGCGTGAGGTGGGGAGACATGCAGGATGGAGGGGCAGATGGCCTGGACCCTTCCCTGCCCTGGGAGGCCTGGTGGTTGGGCTAGCTCAGCTCACCCCTTCACCAGAGAGGCAGCCCCATCATTTGGGGTGAAGAGCAGGCCAGACTGGGGCACTGAGTCGCCCAGTATGTCTCAGAGGCAGCCAGAGAGACGGAGAACCCCTTACAGAGGTGCAGTCGGCTCCACGCTTCCCAGAGCCCTCCTGTTCACATGCAAAGTTGACAGGCAGGCAGCCCCAGGTTCAACAAGCTCCCTCCACTCCAAGCAGACAAGACACGACAAACCAGACGAAGGCTGAAATGGTCCCTTGCTTCCCCGCAAAGGGGCAGGTGGACAATGGGCCCCAGGGAAGCCCAGACCTCACCCCACTACATCCAAAGTCACATACTTAAAGCGACAACACGCCATACTGCCCTGGGCTCAAGCAAAAGCCAAACCACAACCCAAAACTCAAGCAGCAGCCTTCAGAGAATGACGCACGCCCTTTGGGCTGGACCAGCCCCCAAGCCCTCCCTGGAGGACATTTGCCAATGCTAACCCAACGCCTTTGCTTGGGACACACCAAGTCCCTTGCTGGTTGGAGGCGGGGTGGGGGGGGGCGGTATGGAGTGAGTCTCAATGTGGGACTGAAAAAGAGTCAACAGTCAACAGCTCCTCTTCTGAATTCTGAGGCTCGTGGACCAGGGCTCAGGCCAGCTCACCCAGTGCTCCCATAGCCTGGCCAGGGCTCCCCGACCATGGCATTTGTAGCCAGCTCCAGCTCCCAGAGGAAGAGGCAGGAAGCAGGGCAGTGGATGCAGGGTGGACGGATGGACTGAGCCCTGGAGGGTCCAGAGACCTGAGTCCTACTCCCAGCTCTGCCATGTCCGTCCTGGAGCCTGTCACGCCCACCACCCGCCCGGGTGAGCGGCATCCTCAGCCATAGGATGAAGCGGTCAGCCTTGATGATGGAGTCAGACGTGCCTATGAGTCTATGCATCCCTGATTCTACGTTTTCCTGGGGAGGCCAGAGGGTTGGGCAAAATGCTACCTCGGGGGGGAAGGGGCGTGGGCAGGGTGCCAGGAAAATGGGGGTTGGGTGGCCAGGCAGGGGCAGAGGGCGGTGGGCGGCTGGGAGTGGCAGCTGGTGAGCAGGGCAGCCCTAGTCACCTGGAAGATCTTGGACACGTCTTCCGAGTTCCGCTGCTGTGCGACATCGCACAGCTTGGCCGTGATATCGATTCGGCGGCAGATGTCCATGTCCACCTTCATGGCCTTTTCTTGGATCTTTGTGTCCAGGTCTGTCATGGGCTGCAGGGAGGACAGCAGGGGGTTACGTGAGCGAGGGATGGAGCAAGCATGGGGTTGGGGAGGCGCTCCCAGGCTCCGACTGGACAGAGGGGTGGGGAGACCCCCAGGTGTCGGGCGGGAGGCCCCGCAGTCCAAGGGGGTCCTTGAGCCTTTTCTGGACTTGAAGGGTCGGGCCAGCTGCTCGGGTTCAGGGCAGGGGGCGGAGGGACTGTGGGAGCCTAGGGCTTCGGCGCCGAGTGGACAGTGTGTTTGCTGGTCACCCTAAGGGCTGGAAGGCATCCTCTCAGCAGATACAGCGTCAGTGCTTATTTTGTCAGAGCAGAGAAAAAAGAAAGACAAGTCCCACTGCTGAAAGACCCCCCTGCTTTCCCACCGGGCCTGCTCCACCTGTCCCCCACACAGAGATTCCTCCCACGGCTGATGGTTGGGGCTGCCTAGGATGGGGGGGTCCACTGGACCCCGGTGAGGGGAAGCCACATGGCCTCTTCCAGCCACCCCAGCTCCACGCCTCTCGGGACCAGAACTGCTCCAGGCTGAGTCACCTGTACTGGGCTCCTTCTCCTTTGTGGAGACTCTCTCTACATACTACCCGCTGCTTGAAGGTGGCAGGAAACCAGGTCCCCAGTAGGAAGAGGGCCCTTGCTGCCATCAGCTGCCCCTGTCCACGGTTACTCAGAGGGGCTCCGATCATCCCAAGGATGCACACACTGGCCTGTCCCGACTTTACAAAGCAAAGCCTGCTGAAGGCCGCTGGCCCGGGGAGCCTCTCAGGCCGGCGCAGATCAGACCCGGGGTCTCCTTCAACCTGCCATTGGCCGCTGCTGCGCCCAGACACAGAGGCCCATGGCCACCACCCGCCCTCACCGTGGTGAGCTGGCAGGAGATGAAGCAAACACACACAGACCATCAGAAGAGCCCCAGGGAGGGCGGGATGGGTTAAAGCAGCAGATAGATGCATCTCTACTCAGACCAAGGGAAGCAGAAGTGGGGAGGGGGCGGGGGGGGGGCCTCGTCTCCGATGCATCCGTCATCCTCACGGGTCAAACGCAGCCAGCCAGGATTCTAACTAGAAGCCGAGCTCTGGAGCCTCGGAGTGAATGAAGCGTTTTGCATGATGGCTGTGGGGGGAAGTCATGATGCCTGGGGGTGGCGGTCGGTGGCACTTACGTCACTCATGAGCCCCTTAAACACCACGAGCTCGGCCTTGAGACGCTCAATCTTCTCATTCATCTCCTCCTGGATGGCTTCTGCTTCCTGCGCTGCCTACAGGGGATGCAGATGGGGGAGGTTTTAGGGGGGCTGGTCTCCCTGTTGGAGGGGAGGGGATGGACACCTGGGTCCAGAGCCCTGGACACCTGACATCCAACCAAGCCGGGTGTCTTTGTGCCAGGGAAGGAAGGGGTGCCAAGGACCTCGTCCCAGCCTGGGTCCCCACTCAGCCCTCGCTCAGCACAGGGCATTGCTCAGCCTAAAACACTTCTCCAAGGATTATTTATTGTATGGAAAAATCCATGGCAGACATTAAGAGAAAAAGTGGATGTAAAAGGGATCCGAGTAGTAGGTCAATTCACGTGAAACTGCCAAAATATCTGACCATCTCCGATCTCCAGAATATGGCAATGTCACACGTGGCAACCTAACCTAGCATGCACACCTCGGGCTTGTGTGTGTCTGCACAGAAAAGACCAGAAGGTCACACACCAATTTATCCACAGTGGAGGGGGGAGAACTGGAGGTGAGTTTTATTTTCTTCTCTGTGTTTTTCTGAATATTCCAGGTATTTGACCACGAGCATGTTATGTGTATAAAGCAAAAAGTACTTTTCTTATAAAAGAAAGCAGGGTGGGGGGGACGTTCATCCTTTTTCTTCTGCATATTGACATTATTTTAATCTGTCTCTAGCTTCCTTCGAAGATCAGTGTTTATTTTCTTTCTTTCTTCTTTCTTTTTTTTTTTTTTGGTTATTGTTTATTTATTTAGAGGATCAATACTTTAAATATCAGAAGGCAATTAAAGAGCTTTCCATGCCTTCTCATGGGGTTGCCATTCTTGCGCCCATTTGGCTGAGAGGAAAACAGAGGCCAAGAAGGTAAAGTCTGTTGCCTGGCATACACAGCAGGCGAGTGAGAAGCAGGACCCAGAACACAGAGCCACCGAGCCAGAAGAGCAAAAGAATGTCCTCATGCCCACGGCTGAGCACCTGCCAGGGCTGGGAGCCCACCTGATGATGTGGCCACCCGCCCTCTGCAGGGCACTCAGCCCCGAGTCTGTTCCCGCACGCCATGGGCAGCACCAGGATTCCCGTGCCCAAGCTTTTCTGCAACTCTTGTGCTGGTGCCTTCCCAGCCCCAAGGAGGGGAGGCAGGAGAGGCCTCCGGCTCCATCGAGCAGAGACTGAGGCAGCAGGAAGTAGCAGAGCACAGAGGCTGTGCTGGGAACTGTCCCCGGCTTTGCCCCTTGGCCATGTGGTTCTCCTGCGAGCCTCTCCTGGTCGGGACCTCTCACCTCCTGCAGCGTGTCCACCATGGTCTGTAGGTTCATGCGCTTGGCGAGCTCCTCCTCCCATCTGCAAGAGACAAGAGGGACAGGTGGTCAGAGGGCAGCCTCCCCAGGCCAGTCCAGCCTCAGATACAATGCCAGCACCCACCCTGGGCCCGTCCCCGGGCTGGGTAAGGAAGGTGCAGCAGCGACTCTATCCTTGCCTGCCCCTCGGGAACTCCCAGTCTATGGAGCTAGATGTGTGGGACAGCCAGGTGACCCATGATACCAGGTGGTGGTGACGGGTGCCAGGCTCCGGGCATGAGCACAGCACCACTGGGAGATGACGGCAGGAGGGACCGCCAGCCCCCCACAAAAACTGTAAAGCACTGTACAAATGCTACTGCTCCTTCCATTCCTGTAAGACATGGTACTGAAGCTGCTCTCAGGGGCAAGGCTGCAGCCAGCACCACTTTCAGGCTCTCCTTTGCAACCACAAGAAACAAATCTGATTGTGCCAACCATCGCAATCTCGGAGTCAATTTGTCCTACAACCTACCCTAACCAACAAAGACATCTCCTACCTAGCTGTTATCATCCCTATCTTACAGATGAGGAAACTGAGGCTCAGAGAGGTTAAATACCTTACCCAAAGACACACAGCTAGTTAGGGGGTGGGGCTGGACTTCAAACCCAGGTCTGTTTCATTACATTAAAACAAAAAATAAATATAACTCTCCCTTATTTAATGCTTATTAAGTGCCAGGCTCTATTCCAGGGGTGTTACATATGTCATCTCGTTTGTATATATGTGGGCTGAAGTTGAACAGGAAAGGACAAAGGGGATAAGGCACATGGGGGCTCTGAGTGTACCCCCAGCATTAACCGGAGGCAGGACGGGATGATAATAATTAGAGTTACCACAACAATACCAGCCCACCTTAACTGAGCGCTTACTTTGTACCAGGCACCATTCTACGTGATGTAATTCAATCCTCAAAACAACCCTCTAGCCTAGGTGCCACCATGATCCCCAAGTCACAGGTGAAGCAAGCAAGGAAGAGTCAGGTACCCAAGGTCAGGGTAAGGACAGGTGGGGCCAGGACTCAAACCCAGGCTGGAGACTCCAGATTGCGTGCTTGTAACCCTGCCAGGCTTCCTGTAGACCCAGGACCCATCAGAGCCCTAACCCACTCCCCACCCAGATGCCCCTCCTTCCCCAGAGGGACAGGTCCTTCTCCCCCCACCCCCATCCTGGGACAGACCGACCAGGAGTTTCTCTCTTTCTTCACCCTACGGCTGCCTCCCTACATGGCCTCAGAGCAGGCAGGTCTGGAAGCCTTTTAGGATGCTGTCGGGGCCAGCTAAAAATAGGCCAGAGGGGAGGGATGGCTGAAGAGTGGGTTACGTCACCAGCTTTTGGAAACAAGAGAAAACGGATACTGTTTGCACACACAGAGGAAAATTCCTCCTCTTTCCCACATGAGACACGACGGCCCCGGCCAGGGCTCCCAGAGGACACACCCGCCACTCACCCCCCATCCCCCGTTCCCTTCGGTCTTTACCAGCCCCCAGTGGTGGTGGCCAGGCCTAGATCTTCTGTGGGCTGCAGAGTTCAGAACCCAGTGGGCAGTGGGGCTGGGACAGGGGTCCTGGCAGAGATGAGGAACACAGAGGAAGATAAGGAGGGGCAGCAAGATAATCTAAGGGTCTAACCCAGGTGGGATCATCTCACTGAACACCCTCGTTGTACAAATAGGAAAACGAAGTCCAGCCCCAGGCCCAGTGTGGGGAAGAGGAATCCCAGGTGGGGAGAAGTTCAAGGCTGCCCTCACCTCGCCCAGCAGCATGGGGCATCTGGGGCTCCCCTCAAGGGAGGCCAAGGCCCAGAACACAGGTCCCGAGCTGAATCATCTCTACTAGCCACACTGCCCTGAGTGGGGCAGGGGGCTCAATTCCAAAGCTGCTGAGCAGAGCAGGGACAAGGGAGAGCCCGGTGTGGCGCTGGCTGCAGCCTAGCTCCTGAGGCCAGCCTCACTACTGCATCTTGCAGCAACACCAGGGGCAGCAGAGGAGGGGGCAGTGAGGGTTGAAGATGCGGGTACCCAGGGATATCTCTCCTCCACACACACTCATTTCCAAGACGGGCTTTTGGGGATAAGGCCCAGCCCCTCCTCACTTTTCCTTTAAGCAAACTTCTTGTGAGGAAGGTGAGGCAGGGGTCAACAGACCCATTGAACAGACGGGAAAAATGAGGCCCAGCAAAGGAAAGCAACTTGTCTCAAGTAAACTCAGAGCGAGAACTTAAGCCACGTCTCTGGATCTCCAGACACATTAGCTGTAGTAGCAGCAGCCACTGACTGGCAAGCACAGTCTGAGTCCCACGCACTGGGCTCAGTGCCTTGTACACATCTCATCGGCTTTCATGCGAATTACTAACACTCTTGGGTAAAGAAATTTTCCCCAAACCCATTTTGTAGATGAGAGAGCTGAGGTTCAGAGAGTTGAGGTAACTTGTCCAGGGTCACACAGCTAGTAAGCAAGGATGGGACTCAAGCCAAGCTCATGCTCTAAAGCATCCAGTTTCCAACTGTGATATGCATGGGAATCACCCAGGGAGCTTGTTCACGTGCAGACCCGGATTTAGCAGGTCTGGGGTGGGGCTCATTTCTAATGAGCTCCCCTTTAGAAGGCACTTCGGTGGCCCCCTCGCCTCTCTAAGCTGCACCCCAGATGAGCTTGCACAAATGACTTCATGGGCCTTTTATTACCAGAGCTGGAGAGGTGGGCAGTCAGCCGGTGCACCTGCCCCCAGCAGACCCAAGAAGGACCCCCGTGTGTTGACAGCAGCTGGCTTGACAGACCAAACCTGCTGCCTACACTGACCTCCCCTCCCAGCCGCAGCGGGAAAGCTTGGCTTTGCCGGCTTCAATGTTGACAGTGCAGAAAAGCTTTGCCCTTCAGCTGCTCTGGCTGACCGAGGTGAAAGGATGGTTGAGTGATATTCCTTAAGGCACCCCAGATGCCCTGCATTTACTGCAACTCAGCCCAGAGAGAGCGAGCATGCAGCTTAACCAAAAACTGGTCAACCAAGTTGTGGGCTCTGACCTTCCAAAACCTGCTTCCCACAGGAAGCACAGCCCCCTCTCCTGACCTGGATCTGCCCACAGGAGTAAGGTTACAGCAGGCCCTTTCAGGCAGCAGGACCAACATAAGCAAAGACGGGCCAGCAGGAAGGCCAGGGAGTAGCCAGCTGCCACCAAGAGGGGACACACCTACTATGGGTCAGGGGCTGGTGGATGTCATGTCATTTAAGCCTTTGCCCTCCTGACGTTCATGTGCGGCCCACTGCTGAGCACAGGAGCTCACACAGTGGGCTGTGAAGCTGCAGAGAAACCTCCTCCCCATTTTACAGGTGGGAAAATAAAAACTCTAGCCAAGGCCAAGACAGCCTGAATCACTTAGATCCACCCCTGCCCGCCCTGACCCACCAGCTCATAAAACTTCCAAATTCTTTTCTCTTTCTTTTTAAATTTATTTTTATTATTTTTTAATTTTTGGCTGCATTAGGTCTTTGCTGCTGCGCATGGGCTTTCTCTAGTTGTGGCGAGCGGGGGCTACTCCTCATTGTGTTGTGAGGGCTTCCCTGGTGGTGGGCGCCACCAGGGAAGTCCCCAGATTCTTTTCTCTTGAAGGGAGTGGAGAGAGGGACATTTATTGCTCACCTTCTGGGTGGTGTACACCATGTTGGGCCTTCATATACATATAAAAGATAAGGGACTTCCCTGGTGGTGCAGTGGTTAAGAATCTGCCTGCCAGCGCAGGGGACATGGGTTCATTCCCCGGTCCGGGAAGATCCCACATGTTGCGGAGCAACTAAGCCCGTGCGCCACAACTACTGAGCCTGCGCTCTAGAGCCCGCAAGCCACAACTACTGAGCCCACGTGACACAACTACTGAGGCTGCGCTCTAGAGCCCGTGCACCACAACTACTGAGCCCGTGTGCCACAACTACTGAAGCCCGCGCACCTAGAGCCGGTGCTCCGCAACAAACGGAAGCCACTGCATTGAGAAGCCCGCACACCGCAACGAAGAGTAGCCCCTGCTTGCCGCAACTAGAGAAAGCCCGTGCGCAGCAACGAAGACCCAATGCAGCCATAAATAAATTAATTAATTAATAATAAAAAAAGATAAAATATCACTTAATCCTCCCCTAAGGATGGTCCCCATTTTGCAGATGAGGAAGCAGAGAATCAGAGGTAACTCGATTCCCCTTTCCCTCCCTCCTCTTCAGCCTCCTGAAATCTATCCATTCTCCCAGGCTTGTCTCAAATGTCGTCTCTTCCCTGAGCCTCCGCAGCCACCTCCATTGTTTTCCCTCCTTGAGCTCAGACTTGAGGCAGCAGACCTCAGGAGGCCATCTTTCCCAGGCGGCTTGGCTGTGGCTTCTCATCAAGCATGGCTCTCACCCAAAGAGCTGGCCCACGATGCCAGGGACAGCGATGGACTACCCTCCGTCTTCTCCACCTCCAAAGAGTGCTCAGGTCCCAGATCTAGCTCCTGCCCCGACCCCATCACAGGGACCTTCTCTCGCCCCCAGCATCTCCCCGCAGCATCCTCTCACTCTCCCCCCGTCTACAGACACCCTTCAACAACAGCCTTGTAGGCATGCCAGCTCCTCAAAACGCTCTCAGGCTATGGACGCTCACGCCAGCCTCTGAAGCAGGTGGGATGGATGATGGTGGTGGTGATACTGACGCTGCTACTGCTGCTTATCCTGACGCTCATGATGATGATGATGTGATAGGGCAGCTAACACAGGCTGAGTGCTTATGATGTGCCAGGCACCGTCCTCAGGGGCTTCACAGGCAGAGCCTCATTTTAGTTTCACAGTAACCTCTAAGTCGGGTTATTATTATCTCCACGTCGTTGATGAGGAAGTTAAAGTCCAAAAGCATGAAGCACCTCCCCCAAAATCACACAGCCAGCAAGGGGTGTGGGGGGGAGTTGTTTCTATTTTACAGAAACAAGAGACTCAGAGAATCTCCAGGAGCGAAGGCTGAAAAGGGGACCAGAGTTCCCCTAGAC